TGTCACATTACTTCGTTAAACAACGAATCAATCCAAACTCTAAAGTGAACGAGGATGGCTTTAAAGATCTCCTCGGACTAGCTCGACGCTAGTGTCAATAATAACATCAGTCTTCTTTATTCCTGTCAAATTGTGTTACTATGACAACTACACTCCCACCACTGCTTAGGCATGCTTTCACCCTATTATTAAGAGACACTGTAAGCACCATGAAACTCTCACAACTTCATCTCCACGATTCTTGACCTCCAGCGCGTATTTGTATTGTAGTGGATGTAAATTTAGTGGCTAGCTGAAGACAGAGAACAGTTGATGAGGGTTGGGGGTTATGGAAATAAGGATGTACTCGGTCGGACTTGTAGACTCGATGAGGCTAAGGTAGGATTCGATCTCTTTGGGAATGAAAGATTGACATAACGGAGTATTTTGAATCATTCCATTAAGGGCCAACTTATTTGATAGTACGGAATTTACTGAACTTGGATCTGGGAAAATATTCCACTCACAGGATCGGAGGACACTGCATACAGGCGCCCAGCATCGCCCAGCCGAATATTTAGCTACCTAGCTTTGAAACGTGATTGGTGCTATGTGTACATGTTACAAGACCTTTTTAACTTTAGAGACACTCATCCTCTGGACACCATAGGAAAACGACCCTCAATACCTGTCGGTACCTCTTCAAGCTTCTAGCACTCACTGTAGAGTCTGTAGAGCCGAGATTGAATATCATCTTTCCAACTTTGAGATGGGTAATTCCCCCTACATCAAAGACACACTTCCAACAACACATAAGACGCCGTAGAAGAGGATAATGGTGCTGGGAATGAGTAAAGAGATTGCTGTACTAAAGGCTATAGCGGTAGTCAGAGAAGCCCTCGTTGTATCACAATATATGCTACCTACCGGAAGGTGAACAAAAAGCCCAAGGAAGCAGAGTATAAGATCATTCCACCTTCAAGAAAAAGCAGATTTCGACTCTTCAGCAATATCACCTCTTCCAACCTTCAATTCATGAAGTAGTGGCCAGAAAAATATCTGAAATAAATGAGCTACTAGAGAACCCTACATTGGTAACGAATTTTGGATGCTTGGCTAGGATCCTTCACGGCCATCACCCTCGACCAGGACTTTTCTGACACCATTTCACGACCTTCTGTTTGTCCTGCGGCAAGAATCAGAGGATTTTAGTGGTGTTCTCTAGTATAGTTTGAATAGCCTGAGCACCTACTCCACTTGGGAAAAGAATAGAATAGATTAAATCAAAGTCCCTACTGAGTCTATGACTGTAAAGGACTCTACTTGGAAAGGAAACACCCCAAACCACATTTTGCACGGAGAAAACTCAATGGATGATAGAGGCATGTCTAGATAACAGAGGGTTTTAGAGATGTTTCCCTGGGTGGGTATCCACGGATGAGGGTTGAGTTGGGGTGAAGAAAAAGCCACTATAGCTTCGCAGAGGTACTTGCAAGTGAAATTTCGAGGCATATATTTTGTAATTTTCCTCTGATATTTTTTCATGGCTAGATGGTTTCAAACGCAATTTAAAACTGATGCAAAAAATATTAAGCAGAGTAAGGAAGAGGCTGGGAAGGTTGAGAGACGTTCTTAAGTATACACAGGTCTGCTTTGTCAGGTACAAAGTACCCCCCTGGTGAACAAGCAATGGAAATCCCACCATCAAATTAAAGAAACCCCAATTAGAATGGAAAAGATAAGTTGTATTTAAATAGTCTGTCCTACATAGTTATAAACTCAAATAGGACATAAATGGATTATTATTACACAGGTCTGCTGCGCCCGGCTAGTCCGTCTCTTCATAATGGAAGAACTCCGCACCCAGTGGGTTTTACGACTTTTCCCTGCAGCTACACCCACAAATGTCCATCGTTTCGTCGGCTGGAGAGTGGAGATGATGATAGGATAACGACTCCTCTTAGTGTGTATTTAAATGAAGACCTATGGGAGTATTACTGCTGGAAAGAAGTCGTCAAAGAGACATAGATACTCCCTGTCTATACGCAAAAAGAACCTACATATCCATAAATAGTCGCAGGTTCACTAGGACATTGAACACTCGAATAAAAGTATTGTCTACGAATCGCATCTACAATGTATGTAAGTTGGAGGGCAAGACTGAACACCTGTACGCGGTGTCCTCTACGAACCTGGGAGTGAAATATTCTCCCAGAGCCAAGTTCAGTCAAATTTCGCAATATCAAAGAAGTTGGCCCACGAAGCAAAAATTTAAATTACTCCACCATGTCAATCTTTCACTACCAAAGAATCCGATTCTGAACTAAGCTTCATCAAGTCTACAAGTACGACCTAGTACATCCTCGTTTCAATGACTACACCTCTCGACTTTCTCTGGCTTCAGTTGACCTCCAAATACACGCCCACGCCGATATTTATACCCGACGGAGGAAGCAAAGTGTGGAGCACAAATCTGGGAGATAGCTCTTTGTGATGAACGTGAGAGGGATTAGGACAAGTTTAGAAGATGATGCAGAAGAGGGATACGTTTTCGACGGGCATGAAATTTCGAATTTTGGCAAGACCTTTACGAATTGAGCTTTGTGCGTGCCAAGTCTTCGGTTGCGAGAGTGCAGCTGTCACTATATACACAAGCCAACGATGGAAGGTGTTATGATCCGCCTCCTGGTTGTGTTCTCTGGTATGGTTTGAGTAGCCTGGGCACCTACTCCACTTGGGAAGGAGATACCTCAGACCACATTTCGCGTGGAGAAAAGTTGAAAGATGGCGGGGGCATGTCTGGATAACTCAGGGTTTTTGAGATGTTCCCCTGGGTGGGTATTCACGGATGAGGGTTGACTTGGGGTGAAGAAAAAGCCACCATAACTTCGCAGTGGTACTTGCAAATGAAATCTGAGGCACGAGTGCTCTTCCTTGACGTTGAATCATCTATTCTGTACTTTTCTTTGATATTGTGTCATAGCTAAATAGCTGCATACGCAATTCAAATCTGATGCAAAAAAAGAGTATGTAAGTTGTTAGCTAGCAGCAATGAATATGTCATCGATGCTTGTATAATGTGAGACCTCCGTAGGTTTATCATTCGACTCCATATGTGTCTTACTCATCCATAGCTACTTAACTGTAAACTCTACTCTCGCGCGACCGAATCCAGTGTCGAGATTTACTCACTCGGTCGTTCATTTCTACTCAACGGATGAATTACTCCGCATTCGCGCGTCAGCTGAGGTGTGGACGAGCCGTTTCTTCTTTGACGCTACACGCAAATCTTCAGGGCGCGACACTTACGGCATATAAGGCTACTCAATCGTTGGGATAGCCTCCACCTCCATGCATTTCTCTCATCAGGCCCAAAGGCATAAGAAGCATGGTCTTAAACGGTGAGGAAAGCTGATTGATCACAACTGACAACTGGCACCTAGTGGATGAGGGAAGCAGGGCCAAAATTCTCGCTCCAAGCAATAGAGCCACGAGTTTTCATAGCTCAAACTGGAGTTTCACGAAATATTGTTCCAATGTAGGAAATCTAACAGCAGACCGCAGTTCATGGCACGAGGTCGATAAACTGGATTTATAAGTTATTTGATTCACACCACCTATGCTTGGATCTACCTTGTATATACACTTTCGGGGTGCATCGTGTCCTCTTATCGACATTCACGTGACTACGATGCCCGCTCGGCCTACTATGACTATCTCGTTGCGAATCAAGAATTCTCCCATTTACGATACAGACCGGTGAGAGTGTATCGTAATCAAACACTAGATAATGGTGCAAGCTGGTGCTACACCACACCCGGCAAACTTGTCGGACGAAAACGCACCATCGCTTGAATACCCTGTAATAGCGCTAGGGCAGGAATAGATGGCCTTACGCTTCGCAAGAGCATTCGCTAGAAGCAGCTCCATTTAGCCTCCTAGTTGTGGGCCTCATCAGAATGATTACAGGGCGCTCAGGGGTACCTCGTGGCTCCGACCCACTCGGAATGAAGAGAGCGTTGAAATTAAGGGAAACTCTGGAATATGGCTTGTCAATCCATTTAGCTGCACCTTTCCCTTCACGCTTAACCTCCAATTAAAAACTAGCAAGTACTATCACCAACTGGAACTTCCACTGTCGCGGATCTTAATCTGCCTTGCACAGTGCAGTCACCTAGGGGACGTGGCCTATACACGAGTCATGTGCACACGACCACGTCTGTTCCACGATACGTCGCGCTGCGCGAGAGAGCTAAAAAGATCGAGGTCTCCGGTGTTCCATCATTCCCTACGCCCCAGTGCGCCGCCACGTATCTACTCGGGTCACCGGACCCAGAAATTGAAATTTAATGCCTCTGACCCACATCCAGGGCGCCACATCGGCCTGGGCTAGTCACTAGCCCAGGGACCGCCAGAAAGGGGCAGAACTAGTTCCTGGGCCACAAAGCAAGGGATAGTTGTGCCAGGATTCCAACATCCTAGATCTCGTGACCTTCCATACAACCCATTGTCCGTGATAATCATGAAACATAACGTACATCGCTGTGGTCGTTAATAACGGTGTCTTACCCGAATTAATCTCTTTCTCACCGTGCGAATCTGTGTAAGCTAGATTATGACAATCACGTTACAGCCAAAACTTGTGAGCCGTGTATTTTGACTAGACTGGGAGTTTGACTATGAGTCCGCTGGAAGGTCAACATTGACTGCGTAGCAAATGTCACGTCGTGTGAATATTTGTGAGCTTGGAAGCCTAGAACCTGTCTAACTTTAAGCCCCGTGCCCTAATAGCGGACTATGGTATGTCGTATTTGAGAAAGTGCAACAAGTATATGAATACGCGCCTGTGACCCCACTTTTAATAACAATTTCCAAACTTTTCGTCTGCGTTTCATTGACCACAGCCCTGTGTCCTTTAAAATGAATTCTAGCTCGACCCGATCCACGCCATTAAGAAACCCCTCGCTCAATGTACAGGATCAATGTAGCACAGTTTAAAAAAATGATGACAAAAGAAATTCTTATGATTCGTGAGAATCGTTTGTTGGTTCAAAGTCTCGAGATAACATATAACCTGCATCTGGCTGTACCGTACTCCTTATCTCAATAGTGACACTCACTATTTTCTGGCTTAAAGGAAGGCTATATTTCATAGTACCCCGCAAAATGAGGTCGAATTCGTGATGTAAAATTCTAACCCACTTTCCAGTCACAGTTGGCTTTGTATTGTTGCCCGGTGATTCTATTGATATTTGGCCTGTAGCTATTTCGGGTTTGTCGAAAAGTGCAGCACCTTCAAATTTTAAGGGGCTGTCTAGAGAATAGACACGCCCGATTTCAAAGATGGAGCTACGTTCTGTATATTCCTCAAGCAAATCATTCACCTCGTAATTTCGTGACCTATTAGAACGACGTGATGCTAGTTTGCGTATAGGAGGTCCTCTTTTGTCGATGTCACAACAGCTATATTTAGAAAGAGCAAAAACTGCTATATCTGTTGATTCAATAGTGACAGACACTAGATTCGGATTCCTCGCTCGGGCCTCGATGTCAAAAAGTAGATCCTGCTCACTCGCAATAATATTCTTTAAAGAAAGAACTTTTAGGTTTACAAGAGGTTGGGTTGTCGCATACATAAAGCCTATCGCCCCTGACATTACCAACAATATGAAGAGTATTAAGAATAGACATCCGCCATAACGTGAGAGAAACGTTTGGCTACGACGTGTCGCTTGATGTTCGAGCTGCCGTAGAGAAGCATTGTAACGCCGAGATCTGAATGCTTTATTCTTACGAGCTCCTGATATCAACGGAGTACGTTCGTTGCTCACAGAATCCTGCATATCACATCTCAATGTTCCAGACGTACTATTTTTCTTGTTATTAGTTAGCCTTGATATTGAAATACGAGGACTGGTAGGTCTAGACAAAGTCCTTGGACTGATTCTAGGTAGATTCGATGTGGCTGCATTAAGAAGAGGTGATTCGTTATCAATAGTTTGGTAATGGCCGTTACCGATATTCCGAACCCATCGAGTGTTGAGGTGATGATGTTGCGTTGTTCCTCTACCTATTCCACTACTACCTCGTATTGTGCCTTTTACAGATTCGTCACTTATCAAAGGATCTGGTCCGTTGGTGGCGTAAGAATTTGCAAATTTCATGCTTTTTTTCATGATAACGCTTTGGTGGCTTTCCATGATTGCACGTACTCCACATCGCTGATCTATTTGACTAACCATTGAAGTAGCACTCGGAGTTCTGGAATGGAAACGTCGAGGCCTGTCGTTTACGTCGGGTGGATTGGATTCGTAGACAAAGGTTTCCTCCGAATCTGATGAGTTGGCTTCGTCGACAGCACTGGCAACTTTAGCCTCAAAAATGTCCGCTTTGGAGGAAGCTGGTGGGAAACTTGTTAGTTGAGTAATTAAATTCGAGAGTTTTAGACTTTATTCTAGTAACACTCATCTCGATACATAAATTGGAGGGTGCCGGTCATTTACTTTAAGAGATCTTGAGCCCCGTCCTCATTATTTGTATCATCGTGACTTGTGATAATCGAATCGGATGCTTACCTGTGCCCGCGGTGACTGATGGAAGCTTGCGAACAGCCTTCTTTTTATCCTTCCGAGGTCTAATGGTTTCGTTACTTTGCTTCGTCCGAATACTTCCGCCATTACCCGAGCCACCACTGCAGACTGCAATTTGTGGTATAGAGCTGACTGTCTGTGTTTCTACGGTCATACTTCGTGTTGAGCCTTCTCCAGAAAACTTTCCGCGCCCAAGCCCCCCTAACATATATGACTTCGAAGTTGTATGTCCTGGCCTTGTTGCATTGGGGATTACAGCAGAAGCAGACTTTTGCTTAGCTGTACTCCTGCCGGAAAATTCATTTCCATTTTCATTCCTCATGATAAATGGCTTCAGGGTTTTGGTCTTAGGGGAAATCTGTTCTGTAGGGAAGTCTTGATCTGTTGTTGGCTTGGCCATTAAATCTTCTTGCCTTTCACGAGGAGTACCAAAAGTAGATACCGGTGTATTCGGCTGACTGATTTCTTGTACTGTTTCAAGAGTTGAGCTAGTGCCACTTACTCCTCTTGCTGGCGTTCTCAAGCCTGATAGTGGCAGTATATCCTCCACTTCACCCTCTCTGATAAAATGTTTCTCTTCGTCAGCTGCATGTAATTTGCGATAATTTGAAATGGTGGTTTCGTGCTCGGACGCGCAATGGGACAAAACGGATTGGAGAGTTGGTGGCTGAGGAGACCGCGGCTTGGGTGATGTCATCCAGCGTGAACTCTCTCGAGCTTCTGGATTCACATGAAACAAATTCGGGGATATCGGTTGCTTCAAGGCTGCATCAGAAGCTGCAGAGTGAAAAGGATTTGAAGTTACAGAGAGTGCTCGTTGAGTCGCTGCAGTAGTTGTCGGATTTGTTAGGCGAACTGGACTGAGTTCTTGCGAGCTATTTTTCCTAGATCGGCTTAAGCCATGACCAGTGGAGCAGCCCAGAGAGCGGGTAGAATACGATATTTTTGGCTGTGAACGAGCCGACCTTAGGGGGGAAGTTTCACGCGAGAGACACGTAGAGCCTGGTACCGAGGTAGTTATTTCTCGACATGAAAATTTACTTGTAGTTTTAGATGGAGGTAGTTGTTCGTTTCCGGAACACATCTGACGATTTGCTTCTTGTGTGGAGCTTGAAGTGGGGTCTTGAGGTCTACTGTCCATCACGTCGAAAAACTAGAGTTTTGATTAATATTTGACGTGGTGTTATAGCTAGCCCTTCTCTGGATAGTGTGAATAATGAAAGAAAACCCGGGAATAGGTAGATGGATCGAGAGAAGCGAGCGAACGTTACGATTATGAAAGCATTCGTGACGGTGACTGCATTAAATTTGTTGTGATGAAAAGAAGAGATGAAATGTACTGTGTATGTGCTGGCAACGGAGTGCTTGCTTCCCGTCCTCCCGTCAAATCCGACAAGCGGCAACCTGCGTTGGCTTCAGGGATTGACGAGGTGGAAATTCGGTAGTCTTGCGAATCTAGTTCCACCCTGTTAGAGTAGCTAGTAATAATCTGTGTTGTATGGTCGCAATCGTACACGTGATATAATGTAATATTATTCTTCAAGACCAATAGTATCCCCAGGGTTCCACTGCATATGATTCATGAACTAAGCCAAAAAACTCCAGGATAGTGTGGGCCCACTGCAGATGCAAATCATGTCGGTCTCCCAAGAACTTGTGCAGGTAAGTCTAATAATATGTGATAGTATATTAAAGCACAGATCCAATCAAATCAACAAGGTAACGGATGATTCCAGAATTGAGGACGTCACGTCAAATAATCTCTTACCAATGATGGTTTCATACAGCATTTGTATAAACCTTCCTTCAAGCTGGAATTTATGTGGATACTCATCACATATGAGCTAGCAACAGATTCGACGGTCAGCAATCTCCTCCAAATTTATATCACGTTCTTTTATTACATCCAGCGCGCCCAAAATAGGGGCAGTGACCCTTCTAACGGCAGTTTTAGAGGAATGCTACCCACTGAAAATTTGTAACTTGATTACAATTTTAGCAACTAGAGTCTAACAGCTCTAATAAATCATAATTAACCTCAAGATGAAAGAATTGATCAAAGTCTAAGGTTCCTCGCTCAATTACCGATATAAAGCATGACTAAATTGCTGTAAGCATTTCTTGGAGATAGATCACCTCTGCCTGGATATTTGACTACCTGCATAAACACATCCACGCTTAGTTGAGGAATTGTGAGCTCTCTACTGCAAAGATAATTTGCACGTTGAATTTTTGTAACAAAATAATTTCACGGTGTACCATCATCAAGCAAACAATAGATCTATGCTTAAGCTCCGCTAAAGATGCGAAGGTTTCATTTAACCTAAAGTATTAACAGGAAATTAAACAAACACTCCAACGTAAAAGGCATCATCATTTGGTCGAATGCGGCGCAACGTTCCACGAACGTTGTCTATTCGTTTCGTTCATTTCTACTATCTTAATTGGATAACCTTATCTTATCGCTCCAATAATTTTTCGTTGCACTACAGTTTGGCGGATGAGGGGCTAGGAGTGTGGAATTCACGGTACCACCAAAACCACTAACGTTCAGCGAAATAACCGCAATCACAGCTGAGGATTCTCACACGATGTCTACAGTGTTAACACCGATAAATTAAAGTTAATAGGGTTTTATCTAAACAAGTTTCTCGAAAGACTGGCAGTAGCAGCTATTAATCCAACTGTGGCACAAATGGCGGAGGTAGATAGGACCATTGACTACCTCAATTCGTACGCATCATCACTGCAATCGACGATAAAAGCGAAACCAATGGAATTAAGGGTGCTAGCCTTTAAAAAGGCAATAAAGAAGAGCTTCGAGGAGCCAGTGCGCAAGACGGCTCCTTAGTCTACATAAGGAATTGGAGGTCGACAAAATTATGCCTCAGTAGTTGCACCTCCAGCAATAAAAACGGCAGTAAGAATGAGAGTACAAGTAGTAGGCAAAAAGCTGCCGACCAAGCCGCCTAATAAGGCAAAAAAACACATCAAGGTAACATACGCCGTAAGGCAGTTGCGGAGTAATGACACTGAGGTGTTCTTACAGTCTGTCTTCTAGCGAGATGCTACCTTCAATATGGTGTAGTTAAAGCAGTTCTGCGTCTTAAATCGTAATGATACTGTTGAAATGTTGGAAGTTCATTATGAGACTATGATACAAGAAGGGAAAATGCTGACAAGCGCAAAATTTTTTATCAAATAATAAAGGAGACAAACGTTCAGATTTCAGGAATCCAAATCAACATAAAAGGTGGATTTACGATGGGAAAGAGCACCAAAATATGAGGAAAAATGGCCATACTCTAGGACCAGTGATTGCGAGGTAATACGAAACGGCATTGTGCTCAACTCAATGATGTACATAGTCTAGCTCTAGTCACCCCGGGCACAAGTCAAGAAATGTTTCAACTGCAGTCAACAGGGGCACACTAAAGTCTCTTGCAAAAAGCCGAAAAGATGTATTAATTGTGCGGGAACTCACTAGAGGAAGAGATACCCCGAAGAAATCGGTGCTTTGCTGCAACTTTGGCAAGGCCAATAAGTCCAGGTAGAAGGGGGCGTATCCAAATTCTACGTCATACAAGATCAGCGTCCATAGGGCACAGTATGGGCTTTAGAGAGAACGGCAGATCTAAGAAGAGAGAATATTTCATCAGCAGCAAAACTAATACATAATCAAGGGTCTATTCTAGTGTTCCGCCAAAAAGAAGAGATAGTTGAGAAGCCCAGGATCCCCACGAAAATAGCTTGTAGCTACGGGCCCACCATCTCCACTAACAGCAACATTTGGATCAAGCTTCACACTACAGGAATTCAAAGTTGTTACGCGAGGGAAAGGAAAGGATGTCGAGGTTTACTCAAGCTAGCTTTATCTCGAACTAATGGCTAATTATACTTCCTGTATGTTAAAGAAGAACCGCAGATATAACTTCGAAAGTTTTGGGAGCTTTTATCGCAAGGTTTCCCCTTATGTGAATAAGTAAAAGTAGAGTTTATAGCGACTTCCATGGGACCATACGGCTCCGGATCTAGTTAATGAAATTAAAATTAAAATCAAACACTTTGCCGATTTTGAAGAACCAAGATTTTCAAATACTCAAATTATCCCTTTCTACTCTTCTTTCACCCTTTTTCGACTACCATTCTCTAAATTTGTACCACCGTAGACTACCGAGATGCCGTCAATGCGCATTAAACGGTTGTCAGCGTTGCGCATTTATAATACATCAATAATTCAAAGCGTTATCTAGAAAGCTAAAATATCAGCTGTGACTGTGGAGACTAATTTCCGCTCCGATATTGAAGACAACAATGGGCTTAGGGGGAATGGACGACTAAATTTCAGTCGCTGGGGCCTTCATTACAGTAGAGGTGCGGTCTATTATCAAAGAGACCATATTGAAGCCTCTTGACTTTGCAATAAATTCTTTAGTGCGCTATATCCCAAATATTGATCCCAGAATAAAAACCCATTCTTGAGAATAGAGTATCTTCCGGAACTCCTTGCCATAGCTACAATCGAAGAGCACCAAATTGCGCAGATTACAGTTCAATTCTGAAATAACTGGACTGCTATTAACGTTATCAAAGTAGCCTTTTCGTAGCTCTCAGATGGTGAACATAACAGATTTGTTGAATCGATGAAAGTCATTAGACCAGAAATTTTTGCACATGTCGTGAGCTTTAGCCCAGGGCTAGTATTACCATTTCTCCCTATACCATCTAGAACTCTTCCTACGGCTCCTGAGCAAAAGAATCTACACCCTACTGCCGCACCATTCCAGTGTCTAAACACAACTGGACTTTTGTAGCGAGAGGCGGACTACGCCAACTGTAGTTCTGCTAACTTAAGTTGGAGCACAACTTACACCCGGCAGACAATATAAGTAGGGCCCAGAAGTAATAGTCTGTTCGATTAGAGAACAGATATCGAAAATCTGTCCGTGGTGCCCTCTATGAACCTAGGAGGGAAATAATTTCTCAGGGCCAAGTTCAGTCAATTTTCGTAATACTAAAGAATTTGGCATTCAAGGCAGTAACTCAAGACACTCGACCAAATCCATCTCTCGCTTCCGACGAGATTCATTCTCACCATAGCCTCATCAAGTTCACAAATACAACCAAGTATTACCCCATTTTAATGACCAAATATCTCACGGACTACTCTCTGGACTCAGCTGGACACCAAATATACGCCCAAGCCGACATTTACATGTTAAAAACATCGCGCAATGAAATGGGCGTAATATTTCTGGAACGAGAGAAGAAGTTAAATAAAAGAGCGTCATGTTCGGATTGCAGCTAAAAGTGTGGGAAATGTGCGCTATAAGTACAAGTGTAAGCGACACAAAGCCTAAGCTAAAGCATAACCGATTATGGCGCCATCTAGGCATAGAAAACACCCAACAGCTTCCTCTTGCCCACGCCATATAGCCGCTCGTGTGTCCATAAGGTAGCCTGAAGCGCTACCCCATTACTCATTCCGACTTCTTAACTACACATAAGATCGTGTCAGGAACTAGACGAAATAGAGAGCCCGCACGTCCAAAACACTCCATCTCTCCATTTCCAGCATTATACCCGTCGGAGGACATAAATCGAGGCACGTAAATCTAGGAGGCAGTTTTTGCAATGGGCTTGAGAGAAATTCCCAAGGGGTTTTATGATCGACGTTCCGTAGGGTACGAGATTTTAGATGTGTGAAGTGGAGTATTAATTTCTATGGGCAAGAAGTATGAAGGCAGCACAAGGTATAGTATTCACTGAAAAGGTTAAAGTAAAGTAAGTAATAAATGGGGTTGGTACAAGAACAGCGGTCTCCTTAGAGAAGAGATAAGTATATGAATATGAATATAAGGTATCTGTCGGTTTATCTAAGACATAAAAGTAGATGTGTCATCAAGTGGTGATCACATGATGACTTCAGCATGGATGCGCTAGCCAGGATCCACAGTATAGCTGTGAATCATGTATAGCGTAGTAGAGAAGACGATCATGAACATTTTAGACCAACACAGAATCGTACGACTCTTTACTGAATCATTACGATTGATCGTGAAACCACACCGTAGTCTATCCAACAGTATCGATGTAAAAAGAAGATATTGAGTGAAGAAAAATACTCCTTAAAGTTTTGTA